AAAACGTTGGAATTCATCCTTGAATTAATTAAATAATTTGCTACAATTATTTATCATTTGGATAATTTATATATGAACCAAAAAAAAAAAGTGGGGCATCTGCACAAACTAAAGGCTACCTGCCAGTCCACCACCATATTCTCAAAAACACATGATCTATTAAAACGAAATGAAGAGGGAAATTCGAATCCACCGCTTATATGTACTACAACATAACAATGTCATCACCTACCTTTTCTTGCTGCAGATACCCAAACCTTAGCATAGATCAATCATCAATCCTTCTTCGGGAAAATTCTAATTCGAACAAACAGAGCAATTAATATCTACACCCTCCCTTAGGCCCAAAAGCTGAATTGGATCTCTGCAGCTGCTCTGCTCAAATGTTCCTTCACTCAACCCCATCAAAGTATCTTTCTCATGGGCTAACCGTTTCTTTGAGCTAATAAATTTAGATATCCAGCCAGCCACCAGTTTTGGTGACATGAGTGAGAAAACAGAATTCAGCCTTTTAATTACAAGCCGACCACATCCAACGACAACAATTGCGACGTACGTTTGCATTGGCTTTTTTTAAGACAGAATTCAGCCTTGTGCAAAAATTGATTAAAATCGATTTAATCGAATTAATCAATAATATTTTGTTAATTCGGTTAAAATGATTAAATTATGGAGGTCGATTAAATAGATTTAGTTTGATTATGACAGTTTTATTCTTCTCGATTTATCAACTTTAAAATGATTGAAAACTATGCAATTCATAAGAATGTGTAAGATAGATTGGTTATACAAAAAGTTGGATAAGTATTTAAGTGAAGATGAAAGAAATGTGGCAATTGTCATGGCATTTACAGGACCATCAGCAAGTTTTTATTGGCCATTTATTATTGGTGTATTTTCAAAATAAAATGTTATCTTTTTAAATGAAAAGTTATTACAATTCAAAGATTATGTCTTATGGAATGATGGGTTATTATTTTATAAAGTGATTATTAAAACAATACTTTCATCTAAAAATTATATTTTGTAAAATATAAAAGTATTGTTAAGATAAAGAGGTGTTTTGATGAAAAGATTGTATCATTGAAAAAAATACTTGCAAGTTTATATAAATGACTTATTGCCAATCATTTTGGCACATAGAAAACAAATAAGATAAGAGTAAAAGAAATTAAGAGCTAAGAAAATTGTTATGTTCTAAAACTTAAGTTAAACACCTAAGTTTCCATAAATTACTAAAATAGTTTAAATTCCTTATAATATACTTGCTCCAGAAAGTAGATTTTAAAATTAATAATTTAAAAACTTTAAATGTATCTAACGATTTGGTCTTATAAAATGTAAAAATAAAGTTAAATATTAACTTCATTAAATCTTGGATGCTGTTGGCATAATTTCTCCTTTACCTACTTGAGTGATGAGAATAAAATAAGTGTTAAAAGATAATATTTATTAAAAAGTTTATTTTAAAATCAATTTTATCAATTTTTTAAATTTTATATAAACGTTCGAGACTTTTCGTTAATTAATCATAAATAAAAATTAACATGACATCTTTTGTTGTTGTACGTCGAAATTCATCAATTATTACCAAGAAGAGAATACTACGTAGGATCACTGATGGCCCTAGTTAATTGTGCCACTAGACACGTATTTCCACGACAAATTACCATTGCATCTGTTTATCGTTTTTCCACGCTGCACCTTTAAACACATGGTGATGCATGCAATTTTCAATTGGTAGGGTTTACAGCTAACTTCCTTCCATGTGTCGAGAATACAATCTGTCGATGACCAATGCATGGTTGACATGGCAGTTAAGCTTAACATTTATTCACGTTATGACTATCGGCAGTTAATTTGCATGGTCTTAGCAAATCCTACCTAGGCCAATCAAGGTGGTTCTTAGCAAGCCTACATATATAGTTTGGATGGACTATGGATATAGGCTACCATGTGAACATATCACAAAACTTCAATCGCATCCGTCTTTCATTAATGTTTGAGTGGACTTTCAATCATTCGTAGTGGCGTGCAAGTATTATTAAGCCAAACAATGTAAAAGTTACCCAAGGGCCAAGGGGCCTTTCCCCTCATTCACGGAGTCAAATTCGCCTGGTTCTTTTTATAGACAACGATAGAGTGGGGCAGGCAGTTCTTACAGAGAGACCCAATGGGACAGCTTTTTTTAATAACATCATGAAAGCCAATCCTTTCTAATTCCAAAAAACAAACCGAAGCTTTAGGGTCTATGATTATGAAATTGTCCTCTCTTTTGAAACTAAATTTCAGCCATTACACCATGAAATATGGCCTTGGGCTTCCTACATCTTGTTCTGATTAGCGGGTTTCCTACCTGTTTAGATTCATTACAAGCTTTAAATCAAGATTATGTTCCCCCCTTGCTGCCCACTACTCATTAACTTAGAAAAAGTTTTAATCTTAGCTCTATAGAGTCAATTACGCCGATCAGTCCGTGTAGTTGTGACGTAGTGCTTTCGGCTTTTTGTCAAATGACTTTGAAAATTTTCTGCTTTACCTGATCAACAACTAACTGTTTTTCATTCAAAAAGAAAAGCTGTATTCAATTTTCTCACTAAGACTGCCTGACTATATAGATAATCTTTCATTTTTGTTTAACTAATTTTTTTTCTTTCATTGATTTATTCTTCTTTGAATTAGCAAACCTTAGCTGTGTTGAGCGTCCTGCCCGGGTTAATTCGTCTTCAAAATTGCAATTCATGTTTCGAGACCCACCCCAATATATGTGCGAACTCTCAACCAAAGAATGTATAATGTATGCACATGTGCTTGCATTCCATCTTACGACCGTGCAGACAATTAACTTTGGCCTTTCTGTTCTGTTCGGAGTTAGCTTAAGGAAAATGGTGGAATACTTCACATGTCTACTCTAGCTTAGTCTAGATCAAACAAAATGTATTTGACAATTCACGTATCTTTACTTTAAATGAACCCAAAAAGCACACGCGTAGAATAAAAATGGTGGCACCCAACCCAATTAGCAGAGGCCACTGTGCAAGGTGCTGAAAAAAGATCGTGAAAACAAGAGAATCACGCTGGACAAAATGGCTGAGAGGGCCTACAGTCTGTTAAGGCTACCGCAAAAGTTGCACGCTTCACAATAGTGCGGATGTGGGCAAAGTGTGTCAAAGTATTTTATTCTTTAACCTCCTAAAACCGACTACAACCAAGTGTGGTCTGCCGAGAGCGGCTAGTGCCCCAGTTTTCCCACTGCGGAAAATGTACGGGGAAGGTCACAAATCTCCTAATTTTCAATTTTACAAAATGTGGATACTAGGAACACTTAGATCAAGCCAGGACAAAATTTACGCTTAATTTCAATCGGTTCGGTTTTTCCATTTTTTTATAATTAAATCACTTTAATGTTTTAATATTGATATATGTGATGCTATTGAGCTAAAAATGTTATACCCCCATGCTCGTACTCATTTCATATTCGGGATAAATATTGTAAGATAAGTGAAGAATCAGAACAACATGTATTATTCTTTAACCGACTTTGATTAAACATGCACAATTTGCCTTAACAATGATTGTATGTATTATGGTATTTAAATAAATTAGGTAGCAAGGCACAATTATATTCGTAGTGGTCCATCCATAAAGCCCTAGTTGCCCGCCTTGAATTCATTTGCGTCACTCATGTCATGGGTGAACATTGTGGAGGATGGTGAATCATTGCTCGGCTGCTTCCCATTTAAGCCGTTGATATAGGCTTAGGCCAATCTGGACCGATGGTTGACTGCTTGGTGGGTGCGCCGCCTACAACCAGCCGCAACTATCAGAAGGCCAAATTGCCAATAATGCTTTTCATATTGCTGCAATATATAATTTCACACTTTGCATGCGCGACTTGTCGTAAGTTGATAGATTGCACTTATATTTCTTTTTGGCAAAACTGCCTCTTTTCTTGAGTAAAATTACAAAGCACGTGAATAGTTCCGTACGTTTGTTCCTTGAATTGGTAAAGACAGCTAACATTGTCCTGTTGCTGCTTAGAATTTGTGGCCTAGAATAGAAGCTCTGCATCCCCGCATTGATTAATTTTACTATAGTTCAGTTTTTATGGGCTCAACTTGTATACAATTTTGAAAGAATTGAGATTCAAACAATTTCTTTCAATTAAGAATACGTATAGTTATTATTAAATTAAACACAAAAATATTCGTAAATTTCAATTAAAGAAGAGGTAAGGATGGCCCATGCATGTCATTCATATTAACCTTCTAATTAACTCTAATCCATCTTTATGAAAAATTGTCCATTAATTGGTAAAAACTGGGTGCTGAAATATTGTCTTCTTCTGATAGATATTCACTTTGTTCAAACAATAGAAATCATCATCAGTAAATGCATACATATTGCATGTTAAATTATTATAATTTTTTTATTATCAAAATATTAAAATTTAAATTTAATTTTTTGAATAAAAGTACATACATTTATCATCCAATCATATATCGAAATACAAATTATTACTATAACTTTTTTTTTTTGCATCCAAAATGGGATATTTTGAAGTCCGATTTACATGCCTCTCGACAAATTTGTTTTTAAAAAAATAAAAATTATTGGCTTCCAAATTTGATAAGTATATAATCCATTACATAAAAATAATATTTTATAACATGTATAGAACTGGCTACTAAATTCTTGTACTGATATCTTATGCCACCTTTTTATTATTATTTTTTGCCTTTTGTTAGGATTCCCGGCCTGATTTCATGCATAATTTCGTGGCAGTCCGGCAAACGCCATAATTTGCTAACCACATATATAGAATGGTGGCATTCTCGTAAATTCACAAAATTTAAATAGGACGGTGGCAGTCTGGCATGCATGATTTGCTAACTAAAAAAATAGAACTGTGGCATTCTCGTAAATCCACAAAATTTGCATGGTTACAAAAGTAATTCAACTGCCAGTCACGAGGCTACAAAAATCATTTCCACAAGCCCTCAGGCCCAGCACAACAAGCCAGCCACCCTCCGGACGCCTACACCAGTCCCCAAAAAACTGCTCCTCTGTTTTGAAAACGTTAAAACCTTAGCCATGAAGCCCCTCCCTTCCCTCCTCTTCCTAACCTTCCTCTCTTTCTATCTCCGCCCAATCGCAACCGTCAGTTTCCCCGACAACGACGCCAGCACCACCGCAACCAACGCCACCGATTTCATCCGTACGAGCTGCTCCACAACATTATACCCCGACCTCTGTTACACTTCCCTTTCTGGCTACGCCAACGCCATCCAACAAGACCCAGCTCGTCTAGCTCGTACCGCCATTGGTGTCAGCCTCTCTAAAGCCCGTCACATGGCAGCTTATGTTTCCAACCTCTCCCGCCAGGCTGACTACGGAGCCGACCCACGAGCCAGCGCCGCCTTACACGACTGCTTCTCCAACATGGGTGATGCCCTGGATGAAATCCGTGGCTCGTTGAAGCAAATGCGGCAGCTCGTGGCTCCAGGGTCGGAGTCTTTCAGGTTCCAAATGGGGAATGTCCAGACCTGGATGAGCGCTGCTTTGACGGACGAAGACACATGTACAGACGGGTTCGAGGATGTGGCGGAGGGACCAATGAAAACCGACGTCTGCGAGAGGGCGGGGAAAGTGAAGAAGTTTACGAGCAATGCTTTGGCGTTGGTTAATAGTTATGCGGAAAAGGGTACAAATTAATTAGTAAATGAAAAAATTGTAGTATAATTTCTGATTAGCTGATGTTATTGTTCAATGCTTTTTTTATTTTGGACCTTTTTGTACAGTGTTTTTGAGAGGAGAGTCTGTTTTTGTTTTCTTTGTTTTTATTTTTTCGTGTTTTTGGTGTGAGATAGTTTGGAATTTTTTTGATTTTCTTTTCGTGACTGAGAGAAGAAAAAGCTGTATCTTTCTGGATTGTAACTGGAACCGGGTTTACTGAGTTAAACTCTGAGTTTACTTCATCTTTCTTCCTGCGTCGACGGCCGGCGGGGGAGTCTGCGACTCCGCTGTTATCTGTCTCTCAAGACATTTTTTTACGAACTTTTTAATAAAATAATCTAGTCGTCCTTTGTTTTTTCATATAATTGTTTATACTCTCTAAAAAGTTAATCATAATTAACTAGAAATGAATTACAATTAGCTAAAAATGTTACGTTAATTCTAATATAATGATTCTATGTACTCTTTTCTCAAAGATTTACAATTTTAGTATTTAATTATTTGAAATTATTACTAGTTGATTTTGTAGCCAAATGCTATTTTTAGCAAAGCACAAAACAAGTGAAAAAGACGAATAAAATAGTTGAAGCTGCTCCACATCTCTCAAGTCCCATCATTCATATATGGGTAAATATGCATTCGGAGGCTCAAAATTAAACTCCTCAGGAATTACCCGACAAGAAATTTGATTCCCAGTCTCGATGGGGACAGGGACAAAATTAAACTCCTCTTTGGATATGAGGAATTCTTGCCCAACACGCGCGCGCCTGTGTATATTATATATAATCAATATATTTTTAGTTTTAAGGTAAAAAATTAAAAATATATGAAAAAAAAATTTGGAAGATATAACAAATATTTTTAATCAAAAAGATGAAATTTTCACCATTAATAAAAAAGCAATCAATTAAATTTTCATGTATTGATTTTGCTTAGAAAATTTCATTTTTTTTTATGGGATATCAAGAGGTAATGGAAAATTTCATGATCTTTACTCAATTGAAATCCACTAATTAATTAAAATGAAATAAAATTAAACCAAGTTTCCTAATAGACTAGATACAATAATAATTGCTATATTTTGTGATGTAATGGCAATCATGATTATTAATTGGTGCCCTCAAATCATGCTAGATTTGAAGGACCCACGTCAGTACGTACTTTATTATACTGAAATCACTTTCTGCTAAAGTCTAATTTGTATGAGCAAGATTTTGTTCGATTTTCAGGTGATTCTCTTAATGGTCGTTCCATCAAATAATTCCCATTACGTTCAATTATGGTGTTCCTCCTTTATAACCTTAAAATTGAAATTGATAGAGATATATAGGAATGTTTGTGTCTACTTTTGCTTTTGATTAGCGGTTATTATCTAGCTATTATCATGATTTTACTTAGATAAAAGCGCATCACATGCGTCTATATATATATATATATATATATATATATATATATAGCCATGTATGTTAATTGGTTTGTTAATTTGTTTGATTTATTTTAGAAATTTATAAAATTTGTTATACCAGGTTTAATAAATTATTTTAATTATAAATTTTGTTTACACTTATAATTTTATAAAAGGTATGATATTTGAAAAAGTGTCTGAACTATTTTAAAAAATTTAAATAAGTCTTTATAATTCTATTACATTCAATCAAATTTTTATATTTTTATTTTAAATCAAATAAGCATTTATCGTTAACAATTAATTAATTATTATTAATTAAAATATAATCTATCATTTTATACTCATGTGGTGTTAATATGACACCAATTTGATGTTGAAGTAGATAGTGGAAATGTCATATGGATATTTTATCATATTAGCATGTTACGCCATTATCCATTATAACATATTAACATATAAAATGAAAAGTGATATTTCAATTAATAATAATTAATTAATTATTAATTATAAGGGTTTACTTAACTCAAAATAAAAGAGTAAAAGTTTGATTAATGTAATAAAATAATAATGACTTATTTAAATCTTTTTTAATAGTTTAGGATTTTTCTAAGTATTATACTTTTATAAAATAAAGTGAACCGTTTCAATTTCTAGGGGCAGCAAATTTATTCAATTATGACATTTTTGGTGGTTTTTCTGAATTTATCTTTAAGTAATTACACTAAATATGTCACTTAACTTTTTTATATAATCTTTTAAATAAATTCATATTCTTTAACTATACCAAAATGAATTTCTATCTTATAATTTAAACTTAGATAAATTTGTATGTTGATGAAAATATGTCAAGTGATCTTAACGGTTGTTAGACATATTACATCTAGGGATGTCAACGAGTAGCGTACTCATTAATTTTGAGGTACCCGAACTAGAACCAAATTAAAAATAGAATATCCACACTGATAATTATTCAAATATTTTTTAAATTTACAATCCTAACTAGAACCCTAATACATACCCATTACCCTAATATATACCCATTACCCTAATAACTACCCGAACTGGTTTAAAAAACTCGATTATGTAAAAATATTATTAAAATACTCTTTATGGATACCCAATTACCTGAACCTGTACCCGTATCTATATACAATAATATTTTTATCCATATTTCATATAATTCACCAATAATTAAATTTATAAAGGCACACAAATAATAAAATTTATATTTAAAAAATCACAAACAAATATCTCAAATATCAACTAAAATAATTAAAAACAAATATTCAAATAACAACTTAAACATTACAAGTTTAAGTAAATATATGGGTTTATCCATGAAATAAAAAAAAATAACTAGGTTCCAAAATTATTCTAATCTCACAATTTCTTTTTAGGAATATATTTTATAAGTTTAAATACACAAAAGTATATATTATAAATAATAATTTTATAAGTTATATTTTTTATAATATTAACACAAAATAGAGAGTAAATATGTTTATATTTAAAGTATATATACTAAAAGTATATATATAATAGTAATTATATTCTTTATAAATTAACACAATATATAAAATATATGTATTAAAAGATATTACAAGTTAATCAATAATTATAGTTTTATAAATTAATTTAATTAATAATATGAGTTTATCTTTAATTATATAAAATTAAAAAAAAATAATCGAGGTTCAGATATCGGGTATCCAAGGGGTGGTATTTAAATCCTACCTGAATCCAATACGAGTAATAAAATTACTACCCAAATCTAATTGTAAGATATCTTAATTTTATATAACTGGATTGAATATTTACGTGTATCTTATAATAAGATACCTATTGCCATCTCTAATTACATCTTCAGCACACATGGATTTTTTTAAGTGGTGAAATTAGATGAATGGAAAAAGTTATCTGCTCGAAATGTGATCATTGGACTTAACAATTTTGTCACATAAAAAAGTATACGTCCTCTATAACAATTGTGAGGAAGTCATTTGTCACAAGCCTAACCACAATATATAGTCATGCGTGTCGCATGATATTTTTGCGTCAACATAAAAACCTATTCTATTCGGACAAAATTTATAGAATAAAAACTTAATTAAGTAAGTTAAAAAAAAATAGAGAAAGATTATTAAGGATTCTGACACAAGTTAAGAATTTATTTAGTATTTTAACTTAATTTAATCTTTCCACGAGTCAACCTTACCACGCTGGCTATCTACATTTTCACCTGATGGTCAAGTAGTCAAGTTGATAAACAATCGATTATTCTAAAGAGATTAAACTAGATAATTAATTATATATTAGTATTATAAAACTGTTGAACCAATTTTTTCTTTCTAAAAAATGATATGATTTTAAGTACGAGCTGAGTGTAGGTGACCATTCAATCTAAGAAGAGCTTTTAACTCATCATTAATTTATTATTAAAATTTCCATGAACTGAACATATATAACTTGTAAATTTTCTTTTTCGCTCAATAAATTAAAAAATTCCCATTATTTTAAAGTTGGGGAAATTATTCAGCTAGTAATTTCTGCTTAACAAGAGTGAATTATAATTACATATATAATGCTGCAGCATATGGAGATATATAATGAATAATTAGTTCTTTCTTGTCTAATGCTAACCATTTAGCCATTAAGAAAAGAAGCTTATGGTCATTAAAGTTAATCAATTTGAAAGCGTTGCATTGATTAATATTCAGAATTGAGAAAGCCAGAAAATGACATTTGGGATGGAAAGATAGTTTCAATAACAGAAAGCAGTTTTAAAAATGAAGCTGATGGCCGACTGAAATAGGAAAGGCAAAGCTAACAATAATTGGCTCAGAAAACTCTCATTACTCATTACCATGCGGTGTAAAGGTCATTTAGTTCGAGCTTTTACCAGAGATCAAAAAGGAGTGGTCGCAAACATTAATTATTACACTTTCGACATGTGGGCAAATACTACAAATAGATCCCATGGTACTTGAAGCAAGCGGGGAATATGTTTGGTATGGCGCAGCTCAAACAAAGGCTTTAAATATAAAAGGATAGATCTTTTTTATATCTTATTATAATAATTCCAAAGAGTGGTGGTCTATTTCGTGAGTTCTGAGATCAACGTGGCAAAGCAGCAGATAACTTACCTGCAGCTGCCAGCAATGTATAGCTTGAATCTGGAGCTAAATTTTGATTGCATGTCCCTTCTGAATGCATAGATCAACTTAATCATCAAGCTATCTTAACAGGAACTTCGAAGGGCTTAACTGCCTAGAGGTGATCTTCAGTTGAATTGAAGTGTTTGCCAGATTTGGTAAAATCAGAAGTAAAATTATAAATAAAATGAATAATTTAAGTGAAAAGAGTGCTTTTCCTCTGCTGTTGAAAAACTTACATATATGGAGGAAAAAAATGTACAAATCTATCTATTTTCCCTCTCTCTCCTATTGTCCTCCTACCAAATGAAGGAAAGAAAGGAAAAAAAAATTATTTTCCTTTCTTTCTTACCTATTTTCTTCTCACCAAACATAGTCTAAGAGAATTAACAACTCTACGCTCTGGAGTCACTTGGAGGTATATTAGGTTCCAATCCTACAATGGGAAGGCTAGAGCTTTATATATAAGAGAAAAGAGAACTAAATGATCTTATTGTATAACCCGAACTAAAAAAATAAAAGGAAACTACTATAGAGTCAAAGACTTCTAATTAATACCACTTACAATCACATGCAGACAATTGCACCCATAGAGAAATGTCTTCGACAACGTATATAATATAATATAACAAGGGTCTATGCATAATAATAGCAGCAACCAACCAAAAAATGAGGTTAGAAGAAAGAAGAAGAAATGTGAATGTATGAACAACAAAAGCCCATGACATGAATTATTAAGCAGTTGCAGAAGAGGTAATGAGAGCAACGGTAGCAAAATTAATGTCGGGGTCCGTATGGAA